TGTCTTCGTGGAAGCTCATTGAAGATGTTACGTTGTGTGAATGTTGGGTTCACACTACTCATGACCCGATTACGGGTAATGAGATGGATAAGCGAGAAATGTGGAGTAAAATTACGAAAGCGTTTTGCGATGTACATGGAAAAGACGCCAGAACTAGTCAAGGTCTTCAAGGTCGTTGGAAAAAACTCAACGCATCCTTTACTTGTTGGAAAAACGCCATCTCTCATGCTTCTGGTAACCTCTGTAGTGGGACAAGTTTAGCAGATCAGGTGACGATATTTTTATTTATTTATACGCATTCCACCCACATCAATATTTTAATTTATTTAATTTCGTATGTAATTTCTTATGTCATTTTTATGTAATTTATATGCATTCCACCCATATCAATATTTTAATTTATTTAATTTCTTATGTAATTTTTATTTAATTTCTTATGTCATTTTTATGTAATTTATATGCATTCCACCCGTATCAATATTTTGAATTTATTTATTTGTGTTACACCCGCATTTTTTTAACACTATCTTATCCCACATTTTTATAGACACTACAAGCTCAAGCATTCTACAATTCAAAGAATCAGAACAAATCATTCACCAGATAGGAATGTTGACAAATTGTCAAAGAATGCCCTAAATACAAAATTGTGGTAATCGGTCCAGAAGTTGTCATGCACGGTATGGGTCTACATAGTTCTCCAGAACCATACATGGCCGAACAAGAAGCCGACACATTTGAAGACACGGAAGGGACGCCTGAACAAGTGCCCGAGACCCAACCGACTCGTCAGTCCCTCAGGCCTTAAGGTAAAAAGGCATCAAAGAAAAAAGGTAGTTCTTCCAAAAATGACTACACTAAATATATGGAGGAACTTACTCACCAAGGTGAACTGAACATGGCACGGGAAAAGGCTAGAGATGAGGAAAAAGTTGTTGTTATGGCAGCAATAATAGTAGCTACTAAGGCCTGTGATGCGGCGGCTGAGAGACAAAGAGAAGTAGTTAATCGAGAGAACGAGCTGGTTAGAGAAGCACTTCATCGAGAAAATGAAATGCTTAGAGAAGAAATGATGGCTCAAGCAGATCGTGACACTATGAGCAAGATAGTACGTTCAGATAATGACACGTGGCGTGACGAGATTGGTTAAAAATCCTATCTGAAATTAAAACTATTTTTTTTTATTCTTTTAGAAAAAAATTTAAAAAAATTTAAATGGGCTGGGTGCCAGCGCATTTTGTAGGGGTGGAGATGCCAGCGCATTTTTTCACGGGAAATTTTATTAAACCCATTAATCCTCTTTCCACACCCAACTTAGAAATTTTGTCCCACAAACTTACCATTTTACCCTCAAATACAAAATTTACAAACTTGAAAAAATTACACAAACATATAAACCCACCCAACCACCTACCCTGGCAACAACCGGACTTGATTATGGTCGTCATCAAGTAACCAATCGACAACCTTGCTAGGCTGGTTAAGACCAAGTCTTTCTTGATGATCATACAATTGGATTGCAGTGGGTACCGATAACCTCATCCGCCAATCTCGAAGCCCTCTTATGGTGCAAACCTTGCTATGCCTGTCTTTTCCTCCAAAAGCTCGGGACGCACGCACAATCCTTGGATCCTTCAACCTTGGCCATGGAGTTAATGAACGAGATAAATTAGGGTTTGATGAGATTTTATTAGCTTCTCTGGCGACACATTCTCTTGATGTCGTCAAAGACCATAACCGCCCTCCACTATATTTTTGATGTTCTTCTCCATCCTCCGGCAATCCATTTTCCAATTTCCAGTAGCCAATTGTGGTTGGATTTTTCGCCAGTTGATAATATTTTTCTACACCCATATTTTCTTTAGGGCATAATTGGAATATAAAATTTAACAAAAATTTAATGGGTGTAGAAATAAGTTTATTGGTTCCAAATAAAATTTCCCTTTTTTCACTGGGTGCCAGCGCATTTTTTAGGGGTGGAGATGCATTGGCCTATTATTGTTCATTGGAGTCTGTTACTGTTCACTGAAGTGGATAAATGGGCTGGGTGCTGGCACAAAGTCCTTAGGGGTGAACTTGCTCTTACAGAAGTAGAAGAAAAAGTAAGAAGAAAACAAAAAAGAATGGGAGGGTGGAGTGGGGAAGAAAAAAGAAGGGAGAGAATCCCAATCGTAGAAAAATAACCTTGTGAGATTATGATAAGAACAAAGAATTATTTCATAAATTAACAACATTCATATCCAAAGACATACTAGATTCAGTGTATGTGTATGAAATACGACTCTTGTAAAGCACTTCTCTTTCTGCAAAATCTTTCTTCTAACTTTAAGAAAGTACTTAGAGATTACATGTATGGGTTGCAAAATGAAGGGTTGATTTGAGATTATGGTGCTTTTAAAAAAAAATCTGAAATATCAAACATGTTTGGTAAAATTAAAAAAAAACTATTGTCAATGATGATTGAAAAACATAAAAAGCAAAAACATGATCTATGTTTCTTAAAAAAGAATTTTTTTTTATTTTTTTCAAAGCATAGCAACTGATGCCATTTAATAAAAAAATTTAAATCACAAGTATAACCTCACATATTTAAAAAATTTCAATTATTGCTCCTACATTATTCTCTTTGACAATAAGGTCTCATTTGACATGTCATGTAAGACCACTGGATAATACTAATAATACAGAACACGTATTTGGTGAGCTTCTTAGGCCTTGTTTGACAACTCGTATAAGGGATTAGATAGTATTAATAGTATTGTCCCAGTTGTTTGGCTTGTGTGAAATAGCCACCGGATAAAATACAGGGTGTGCTATCCACATACTCCTTTTTACTTCTCACACATTCCTTGTTAATTTCTGTCTGTTGATCTTCTTCAATTCATCCGATCCGACGGCCGAAAACCAAAAAGGTGTGGGAGAAGTAAAAAGGGTGTGTGGATATCACATCCCATAAAATAATCATGTCCCACCATTTTAAGACACTTCACACCCGCTTAGTTATCCTCTCCAATAGGTTGTTATAATTAGTCGGGTTCACGCTCTCGTTGGCTCTTCTCCGACCCTTTCTGCTCCTGCGCAACGCGAACTCCACCAAGGTATTGCTACTCTATCTCTCCCTTCTTCCCAACCACTAGCAAAGGCTCCGGCGACGGCGGAGCCCAAGAAGGAAGAAAAGGCAGCTAGGCTCACACCGGCTCACTCCATCCTCTCTCGCAGCACTCTTCTTCCACTATCTCACATTGTCTGCTATATATTGTCTGGATCCCAGGTTCGTCTTCGCCATCTTCTTATTTTTCTCTCTCTGTTCCTCTCTCCTCCTTTACACTCACACACACACACACACACACACACCTCCCACCTCCTCCGTTTTCTTTCGATCTCTGACAACAAAACTTCCATGGGTTGAAGGAGGAAGACAAGGATTCAAATGCTTCCAATCTGGACTCCGACAACGAGATGGACGATGAGGAAATGAGCTAGCCTCCGACGAGGAAGGGGATAGCAATTCGGATCCGAGCTCCGACGAGGAGGGGGACATGAATTTGGATCTAGGCTCCAAATTCTTGACCCCGGCCGCCACTCCTTTGCCATCGGTCGCCGATGGTGGGATTTGATGCATGGGGAAGATGGTGAAGAAAGGAAGACACGACTGGGAAGAAAATTGGGTTTTTTTCCCTTTTTTTAATTCTTTAATTTTTTAATTTTATTTTTAATTTTGTCTGTAATGGTGTTTAATTCTTTTTTTCTCGATGCTTTTCTTTTTTTTTTCTCCTTTTTTTTTCATTTTTACAACAATTATTTTGTGATTTTTTTAATTATTATAGTCCAACATATTATCCGATCCACAAATTAATTCGATACAACACCAAACGCTCGACTAGTTTAGTTAGTATTATCCGACGTCTATTTATTCTATTCAACTGAAATTGTCAATACAGTCCGATTTGTCTGACAAGACCTTATTATATCACATTAAATGTCATATCCTTTTTAGGCATTTGACATATTCAGAACAATTTATATAAAAGTTCACTAAACACTCAAACACTGTTTTTTTTTTGCTAAAAGCACTTTTACCAAAAAAAAAAGTGTATCAAACACTTAACAATTTTATTATACAGTTGTTTACTTTCATAGCACAATAGAAGCAATTTAAAAAAAAGGTACAACAATACCAAACAAACCCGAAGCCCCTTCTAGCAGTTATCTTTCTTTTGTTTTTTCAAAAGTAATCTTTAGAGTATGTGGCAAATTGAAGCTTGGTAGTTGACCAACCTCCCCATAATTAGAAAATCATCATTTAGGCTATTTCCAACCGGGCGGTTAAAGGGTCATAGGCCAAGGATAGTCTGTTTTGACACAAAACTCATCTCCAAAGAATGTTTGAGCCAAAAAACTTTGGGACCCACTGGGCCAAAATTCAGCCATATGGGCAGTGGGTTGGGCAAGTATGGCTAGCCTGTTCAATTAGGCCTAGCTGTGCTGCTAGCTGACGTCATGTAGTTTTTATTTTTTTTATTTTTTAAGATGAAATTATAAAAAAAAAAATTCTAATTTTTTTTCCTATAAATTCTTAAGCCATTTCTACATCATTTTCACCATTCCATATTATCTTACCTCATTTTAATATTTAAGTTGTTAACATGCAAGTAAAATTAAAATATTTAATAATATCAAACTTAAAACAATATTTAGCGACAAGTGCACTTAAAATATGTTCGGAAACTTTATTTTAATATAGTAGCTTAATTCAATCAACCAATAAAATTAAAGAACGAACTTAAAATAATAAATTATTAAGGGAGCTAAAAATTAGCCCATTCGGTTGGAAATTGTATATAAATAAGGCCAGTCACTGTTGATTAAAAAAAAAATTCTTGCAGAATTATAATATGAACGGGATTAAATATATTTCATTCGGTTGAAGATGATTCTAACACCCTAGAGAACGAGAAAGCCAACGCCAGTGGCTCATGCCCGTTCAAGTGGGCCAAATAACCAACCTGATAGGCCTGGGCCAAATGACCCGACTCATGACCCAAACCCTTGTCTAGTCCGCGCCAAGCCCGCGCTGCTGTTGTACATGCCACCGTTTCGCTCTTTGGCAATGGCAGGAAAAACCTCTGCCATGCCTTGCTTCCTGTCACCCCACCAATTCCAATCATCAATTCTCAACTTTCTTCAACGTTTTCAGATTTGGAATCGAACCCACGTTCGATTTTCCATTTTCTTCGATCCCCACTTGAAATTTTCAGCTAAACATAGATTTCTCCGACGAATTTCAGATATCAGAGAGGGAGAGATGGGGATGAGAGTGAGAGCCATGGGGGCACTGCCGGACCTCATTCGGAGCCTCCAGAAGGAAGCCCACCCGAAACCCGCAAACCCGCAATCGCTGCCGTCGCTGAGACGCGCCTTCTCTCTCTACGATCAGATCAATCTCATCGACAACGTCCCCAGCGACCAGCTTCGGTTTCAACGGTATTGTTGCAATTATCTCTCCACTCTCCACTCTCTCTCTCTCTCTCTCTCTCTCTCTCTCTCTCTCTCTCTGAATTTTTCACAAGGAAATTACAATTTTGCCACTGTCTGTAAAGTTACACGGACACAGGGTTCACAGTGAATGGGGTGGACTATGAAGGAAGCCTACTGTGTGTTGGAAACATGTTGATGTCTTGGGCTCCCAACAAGTTCTCTCAAATCACTACTGATAGGTGTGTGTGTGTATGTTTACTTACTTAATCATCCTGTTAATTATTCCTAAAACCAAGGGAAGATAAAGATTAATACTTTGTTTGTTTAATGTTGTTATTAGGATTTTGATATTTTTGCTTCTTTCGGTTGAAGTCTTTGTCTAGCTTTCATTACAAACATGTATGAATGCATGCAAGTTTTAGTTTTTTAAGACATTAGAATGGTGGTCTGGTGACTGTGAGGCTCAAGTAACTGGCTCTTAATGGGTTTTATGATGTTGTGCAGCCTATCCATCTTTCGAACCGTGCGACCTGTACCAGGTAAATTCAAATCGCATTTTAATCCTGTTATGTTTCACATGCACCTTGTTATAGCTTGTCCTCCAGAGATAGGCGCTTGTAGACAAAACTTTAGAAGGCCAATTTCCTTAACCGAACTTCAACTGAACCCAGCTAATAATAATCTGCGTATCAAAAAGTATTTATTCAGTACAGAGTCATCAAGTACATTCTGATTAAGTAATTACTGACGTGCATGACTCACAAACACACATGGACATGCGCATATGATGGCGTACGCAGAAACTAGCCTTCTCATTCATTTGAGCAAATGTGAATTTGGATATAGCTGTTCGTTCTTTTTCCATTGTTCGTCGGTTTGGATCGCTTTTATGCATGCTTCTAAACAGAACCCCTGTCATCTGCCAAAACAAAACAAACACACAGATAGTCTCATTTTCAACACCCTTCTTCATATTATTGTATTGCACAAGATATGCAAGCTTCAAGAAAGCTTATGAAATGTTTATGGCAGAGTCCTCATAAATTTTGGTTTTATCAAACAATCGAAGAAATAAATGCCATCTTGTGTGTGACGGGCTGGTGTACGACCCACTCTCTGAAAGTTCCCATTTAGTTGGACTACATGCTTTTCTTCTTTCTATTAGTGTATCAATTCTTGTGCTTCAGTTGCAGAAATCTAACTGTTTTTCTCTTCCTTCATATTTTGTTAATTTGTGGTTTCTCTTTAGACAATAATGTGAATTCAGTGGCAATGCTTTTTATTTTCAGTTGGAAGTTTACTTATTTCTCTTACCTTAATCTGTATTTGGAATTAAACAACATGATGTTGTACATTATTCTGTGATGACAAATCTGAAGTATTAGTAACCTAACAACAACACTACAAATGCCTTTTCGTTGTGTGGAAGTGCTTTTGGCGCTATCAAATGCACTCCCAAACACATTTAATGTGGAATCAAAGTGAAGGCTCCCCTAAATCAAAGGGCGTTTTAGTCTTTTATCTCTAAGGTTCGTATTTAATATTTAGGGCTTTAGTCTTTGGATTTCCTACTTTTATAAGGATTAAGATTCTTTCCAGTTTGATTAGGATTAGAACTAGTTTCCTATTCTATTTTGGATTAGGATTTCTTTCCTATAATAAGTTTACTTTCCTGTGTTCATTAGGTTTAAGGCTTTATGGACATGCCTTTGTAATTCAGATTAGCAAACAATGAAGAGTTTGTGAATAGAAAAGCTTTGTTGTTTAGAGATTGGAATTCTAATCCTGCAATGAGATTATTTTGGTGAGAGGAGATTCAATCGTGCCTAAAAAGGAGATTCAAATTTTATTTGGAGAGAGGAAGGTTGGCTGCCTCACTGTTTCCATCTCCATTTTGAGTATATTTGGTGTTGTAAATGGGAAGATGAAGATAATGGGATCCTGCCATCTTCGGAAACAAATTATCTTCAGAAACAAATTGAGAAGATGATGTGAAAACAATGTTAATGGAATAGAATATTTGAACAAATGGAATAGAATATTTAGAAACTTGAAAACAAAGGGTCTAGTTTTCGGGTCCTACCATATCTGGCGATAATGGTAATAATCTGGTGAAAGTAGAGATGCTAGCTTCTTCCTCCCTTCCTCCTTCCCTCTCACTTCACAAAATCAGAAATCAGTGACTGATCTGGGTTTAGAGGTCGCACTTGGTGCGATGGCAAGTGCCTTCGCCCATGAGCGGTAGGTCTCGGGTTCGAGACTTGGGAGCAGCCTCTCCATAAATGGGGGTAAGGCTAGCCGACATTCACATCTCCCAGACCCTGCGTAAAGCGGGAGCCTTGTGCACTGGGTACGACCTTTTAGTGACTGATCTGGGTTTCCTGAAAATTTGTGGCCCCAAAGTAAATGATGTAAAGTCTGCTTAGGTTTATCCGACCAAAATCACTGGAAACAATATCACTGGTTTTTCTCTTTATTCTGAAGTTTATGCTTCTATTGTAATTCCTAGTGACTTGTACAGTTAAGTTCTGTTGTAACAGTTCTGGTTCTAACAGCCGTTGATTTTTATATTGACCTCTTCTTTTGAAATTTCAGAGATTTTGATAATTGGCTGTGGAAGGTACATTGAACCTGTAAGTCCTGAACTACAACGCTTCATCCGGTCTACTGGAATGAAACTAGAAGCCATTGACACGGTATAGTTCATTGTAGCTTCTACTTCTTTTCCTTTTGACTTGATTTCTTTCGTGCATGTTATGTTTGCAATGGTGACATAGTGTTTGGATTTATCTGACAAATATCTGCCTATCATAGTTTTGTAAGCAAAGCCGATATCAAAACAGAATTCCTAAAAGGAGGTGATTTTCACACACATTTTTTAGCTTCTCACACACCCCTATTTATTTCTGATCATCGGATTGAATAAATCAAGAACAACGGACAAAATTAAACAGGGGTATATGTGAGAGGATAAAAAAGGCATGTGTTTATCATTTCCCTTCCTAAAATACCAAGGATTCGATTTTGAAATTAAGAAGAGTTACTAACGAACAAAATGAACGTTGAGAACTGAAGAGAAGTTGTGTGATTGATTCTGCCATGTCCAACAGCCATACTGGAACTGTTATTAGCAAGAGTAGCAGTGGATCCTTAACCTTGTTGTATAGTAGAGCAATTAAATCAACCAAACTTGCAACATTTCCTGAACGAGAATGAACAAAAATGGTATTTTTGCCACATTTCTTCTAATTTTGGCACTTCCTCTTCGGATTGGTGCCTGTATACGAATGCATTTTGTTTCTAGTACTGGAAAACCCGCAAAACTTGATAATAATGGTTGGTTCTGCTACAGAGCTAATAATATGGTCTTGTTGTGTTTCAGAAAAATGCTGTATCGACCTACAACATACTCAATGAGGAAGGGAGGATTGTGGCTGCCGCACTTTTACCATACGGGATTTCCTCATGATCTGTAGACCGACTGCAGGATGCTTGCTTTCTGCATATTTTTCCTAACAATCTCGACTACAATAACTAGTTACCTGGTCATCAGCTTATTAGTATAATCTCAACTACAATAACTGCAGGATTGCGGCTGCTGCACTTTTACCATACGGGAACTGTTATTAGCACTCCAAAAATTTCATTCTACCCTCTACAAGTGTAGTTTTCTTTCTAATTATAAAAGGTTTGGAGTGTAAAATGAGATTTTTGAAGTGTCAATAACAATTCCTTTCATAAAAATGAGGACCACAAGTGCCAATAACAACACTGTATTCTATATATATATATATATATATATATATATATATATATTACACGTTAGACACAATGTTGACATTCATGAGGTTAAGTGAGACATTTTGAGTAGGGGTGGACACGGTTTGGTTTGGTACGGTTTTAAGTGAAACCGAAACTGAATTTTTTTGCGGTTTGGTTTGGTGCGGTTTTGAAGCCAAAACCGAAATGAAACCAAATCGTTTGGTTTGGTTCGATGTGGTTTCAAACAGTTTCGGTTTGATTTTTAAGAAAAAAATGTACAATTTGCAATTTAACATATTAATAAGCATTTCCCAGGAGCAATAGGAAAAAGACATTTGTTATATAAACAATAAGCATGTTGTATGCAGTTGTAATGTTAAAACATGTTTGTGCAACAAAAGGATGTTCCGTACAAGGTATAACATAATATAAATTGAATAACTTTGAATTCATTAAATGTGAGCGAAACTTTCATATTATAATATGTGATATCATGCTTCAAATGAGTGGACTTCATTATATTATTGTTCGACTCTTGATAACAAGATTAGTCCACCATTGTACATATGTGTGTGATGATATAAATTAACAAAGGTCCTTCAAGTTAATAAACGAAAGAAAGTGATGAATGATGATATTTTAATGTGGTTGAGTCCATACAAAGTGCATGGATTCTAACAAACAACCAATTAAAACATGAAATTTAATATGGACATTTAATTAAATGTTTATTAATATTTACGGTGCGGTTCGGTTTCGATGCGGTTTTCAAAAGTCAAAACCGAAACCAAACCGTTTTTTATGTTGTGGTTCGGTTTCAAAACCAAAACCATTCCAAAATCGCAAAACCAAACCGTTCGGTGCGGTTCGATTTGATTCGTGTTTCGGTTTCGATTTTCGGTTCTAAGTGCCCACCCTTAATTTTGAGTTTCAAGAGGCAAATTAAGAATGAAATTGAGTTTCAAGGAGGGACAAGGATTGTCTGCCCTCCTTGTTCTCGTGCCCTCCTATGCCCTCCTGTTTGTGTGGTCACGGTTAAGCCACGTCAACATTTTATATTACTATTCATTTTTGTCTTATTATCTCTATAAAAATAACAATATAAAATGTTGACGTGGCTTAACCGTGACCACACAAAACAGGAGGGCATGAGAGGGTACGGGAACAAGGAGGGCAGACAATCCTTGTCCTTCAAGGAGTGTTAAGAGTAAATAAGCTGATTTCAAATACGACACTTCACATGACTCGAATTTTACACACGATGAGAGCATACAAACTAATAAGATAAATGTATTTGTATTGGATCAAACCACTAGATAGGAGCATCTCTAATGAAGTAGGCAAATGAGTTCTGCATTTGATGAGCCATGTAAGCAAAATCAAGCTCCGTTGTAGTAAGCAGATGAGTAGCCAAACTTTGCATGCTTTCCTTAAATATACAACATTGCCTACTTCAAGGTGTGTTGATAAATTGGACGCCGCTTATCTATTTCTATCGATCCATCTTCTCTTCCTTCCGCATCCCTGTTTCTCGAGATATCTTTCAGTGTGCCTAGAACACGAGTACATACGGCATATGTCATTATACAATCCGTCGGAACTTTTTTCAATTAATTGTATTATGAAATTTGATGTATTCGATCGTGTTCCCAATATATTGAAAAATCTCTCTTGTTTCTCCTCAAGGTAAGAATTTGTTCTGGCTCTTCTGGGCATCGTTCGTTGCATCTAGTTTGTTCTGGGGAGTCTTGTTCTATTTAAACTGGATCATTGGGAACCTCACGCATAAGCTAGGGTTAAAGGCCTTGCTAGCAACCCTAGCATCATATCATGATTTTTAATAATATTTATTTTTGTTAGCATCCTTCTAACTTTTGGAAGAAAACTGCTTTGAATATGATCATGTGTTTCTTCTATGTTTTCTGATTTTGCTAGCCAAGACCTATACAAAAAAAAAAAAAAAAAAAAAAAAAAATCAAACAGTTATCAATTTAAACTGAATGAAAATATAATATATTGAGGCATCAACAAAGTGGCACGGTAGTTGCCAAAATTTGGAGAAAAGAATTATGTGAGTTATCATATAGGTGAAAAATGTGGGGAAAGATAACAATGACAAAAAAGATAAAAAAAAATATCGAACATGAATGAAAATAATAAAATAAATTTTTGCCTACTTGGTTTGCTTATTAGATTAGAGTGGCATATTTTTTTTCATTCGGTAATTCAGTAAGAGAAATGTTAAGGAGATTCTTTGTCTTCTCATGTTTTTTACACAATGTTTTATAATGCTGACACGAGAATTGATATTAAACTGTGAAATGACAGATAGTCTATAGAGAGTCACACTTTAAAAAGTCTCATTAACATGATCAATGCTATCCTTACTACATATTTGTATCATATTTCTTATGAAGGTAGGATTCACCAATACACATGAGTTCATTTCTATTAGAGACATAATACAAATATATTGTAAGAGACATTTTTTTCCTAATATTTCTTAATTAAGTAAGCAATTTGCCGCATCAACCCTTTTAAAAATAATTACTCTTTTACCTATTGTATTTGCCTACTCCATTAGAGATTTGAGATAATTTAATAATTTACATTGGAGATAAAAAGGAACAAAAATTAGAAACCACATGTACTTTTTTTACCTTCCCAAAGACAAAAAGCAGAAATGAAGACATAATTTGACGGGAAAGTTTAGAATATTGAGAACAAATCATATGCCGCCACGTAAAAGGTGATGTTTACTACACTCCCACCGGTGCTCTGCTGCTCATCTTCTTAAACAAACGGACTTGCTGCTCATCACTTGATCTGTATTTGCTTCAATGAACAAAGAAGAAGTGTCTCGCATGGTAAGCTCTCTCTTCATCAAAACATAATTTTTTCCATCCATTTGTATTTTTTTCTTTTTACATGCTACATTTTTATTGTTTTTTTATTATTTTTTTAATTTGTCAGATCATTGATTAATCATAATTAATCATGTCCCTTGATGCTCTTTGGCTAATGCTATTTAGTATTTACAATGGGAAGAAATTAAATTCATAAACTCTGAAAAATGTTAATGATTTTCCTACAATTCTTGTTTTAATTGACTTGTAGAAAGCTTGCATGCACCATTCTTATTTTTCAAATAAAATTAAAACTAAAAGAAGGATGAAAATTCTGTTTCTCTGAAGGCCTTTAATTATTTATTTATTTGATGATCAATTAGTTTTCTTCTTTTGTGTTATTACAAGATCAACAGTTTTTGTATCGAAAAAAAGGCATATACTTTTGAAGAGCTTTCTGAATATAATGATATGGTTTTGTGGGGGAAATGCTTGGATCGGTCGTGTCCATTCATGCTTGCAAGTCCCACAAAGCATGGACGATCCTGTGCATGACAGATCCTAGCACCCTCTAAGATTTAGTGCATGTGTAGTCGCAGTTTGACTAAATAATATCCCTTCAGTTTCTGTGCTTTGATCAGCAATGCTTGGTATTCTCCTATGAATGGAATGGCTTTTGTTACGTTGAACATCCCGAATATAGTGTGATAATTGTAGTTTGTTTAGCTAATTACTGATCACGGTGTTCAAATCAAAGCGTGAAGGCACAGATCCTTCATCTGAGAATGCGGAGGGGCACCCTGAAGGTTTGCAGTTGGAGATAATGAACCAGAACCATGAAAATCCAGAGCATCTGATGGAGAAAACAACCAAAACTTGTTCAAGGAAGAAAACAAAGTACAATTGTACTGTTGTTAGGCGATCCTTGCGTTTCCAAAATGGTATTCTGCCTGCTGGAAACGAGAATACAGAACTTGTGCTTGAAGATACAACCGCTGGCGAAAGTGGAAGTGCAGAAGAACAACCTGCCCATAAAATGCACGGGTCAACCTCAGGCGACAAAAGCTTGGAAGAAAAAGTTGACTATATTATGCAACTTTTGGAAGCGAGGAACTCAAAGGTAATCAATCTATTCACAGTTCACCCCTCCATGGAGATAATTAGCATTTTTGTGTTTAGTTATATCTATTTAGCTGTATTACTTCATTGTAGCCCTTTTAGTTCTCTTATCGGTGTTGCAAAATTAGGCACGGGGTAAACACTCATCCTTCTGTGAAAGCCCAGAGTCGATGTACAAAAGCTCATATGCAGATTCCCAAAAGGTTATTCTCATAAATATATTTACTATCTTCCTTTTGTTTGTGGAATCTGCAACGATTATATCCTTTCCTTTTATTTGCAGATTGAGGCTTTAGCAAACGAAAACCATAAGCTGTCAATGAAGTTGGAAATTGCTCTTGCCAAACTTGAGGCAGTACGTCAATTATTTTTGCTACGTTGACTTATATCAATGAGAATACTTTTGGTATGTTCTTTGCATTTTTCGCTTGAGAAGTGGAGTGATCTGACATATTGCATGCTTTGGTTGGTTGTAGTACGAGAGCAGGACTCATGCATTTTCTGAAATGGCGGAGAAACTGAAGGATGTGATTGTAGTTTCAAATTTGTCAAAAGTTACAGAAACTGCAGTTAATCTGTCATCTCAGACGGCACATGGAGATCTTGTGCCACAGGAGGAGTTTCTTTCGCATTTCCTTAACCGGAAAAGGCCGAATGCTCAGTCACCCAAAGCTGCAGCAAAGAGAAAGAAACAAGAGAAGAAAGCAAATCGAAGGTACTGTTGAAGTTCACCAGTTAATCTGAACTAGTTTTGCCAGTCTTTTGTATAAAGGGGAAACATGTTGGAAATTGGAACTTCGCTTTATTATGTTAGACTTATGTGTATGTTTAGCTTCTGCATAACAGACTTCAATGTCAATGTGTGTTCTGTTGATTCGTAGCCTGACTATGTAAAATGTTTAGATATTCCTCATGTAATCACATATTGTTTCGTAGTTTCTCCAGCGATCGCTATTGTATGATTCTCGATGCTAAGTATGCAACAAAAGAAGCAATTTATCTGTGATTTGGTAGAAGTCGGCAACACATGAGGCAATTTTCCTCTCCTTCCTAATAATGTATCTCCTTTTTCTTCAACCTTTTCTGCAAGCTGGACTTTGTTGATTTAATTTAGACCTTCATTGTATGCTGGCATTCTTACTATAATCTGTCGAGTATCCTGTGTTTTCTTCTACACGCTGAGAGTCCTACTGAAGTTTGCCAGTTACTCGGCGTTCATCATGTTGGTTTGAAGCAGACCGTGGTTTTATGTAACGTTTAGATGTTCCTGAGATCACCTATATTTACGTTGTTAGTAGCTAGATTTCTTCTACTAAGTTGTCACTCATCAAACTGAATATATTATGTGATAAACAAAAGCTGTTACAAGTTAATCCAATCCGGAATGAAACTCATTGCGAAACCAGCATTCGGTGTTGTAAATTTGCTTTCATGAGTTCCTGAATTTAGGGTTCAAACTGTGGGTTGGTGGACCTGAATGATGATGGATTTCTTTAGGCGCCTGTGGAAAATGTGGGTGAAATTCAAATAGTGACACAAATTATAAAACAAAGTAAAAGTAATGTTTAATTTGATTGCCAATGTAACACCAAAATCCAGAATCTACGTAGGATAAAACTTCCGCTCCCTATAAACATTTTTTTGAATTAATAACTTTTCCATCATCTGATATGTACCTGTAAAATTTTGGATTTTGCAGCAGAATTTTTTGTTCTTTATTTCAAGAGTTCACATCAAATTAAACCAATAAAACATGCCACACTTTTTTAATTTAAAAGAGAATAAAAATTGCGTGTTGATAATTACAAGGCGGTCGAGTTTCTCTTTTTTGCTTGCAGAAATTAAAAATATAAGTAATTGTCTGGCATGTTCAAAGCATTGAAGCCCCCAGCAAGAAGAAGACAAAGCCAGATATACAAATTTGGAGCAACATGCTGAAGCATTTCTCACATTGGTCATATAATATTTTAGAAAGACAGGTCAACCTAATCACACCGATACTGATATTGTCTCATAATTTGCATTTTACCACCAATGCAATTAGGAAAGAGGGTTCAAATATGAAACATCTGGTGCAAAGGTGAATGCTCTTAACAAACTGAGCTACAAGTCATTGCAAGAGGTTGAGGTTTCATACAAAGGCCACGATGAAATTAATTGTAGAACTATTCAATACAAGAGAAAATTTAACTTAATGAGATTTCCAATTCGATACGCTTCAGTACAACCGACCACTACTATTTTATTTGCTCTTTGAGTCCTAGACTTTTAGTATATTCCATATCCGGCTGAGGCATGTTTTATTTGACCCTCAAAATATAGTTCATCACGCCATGAAAATATCGTTTTCCTTCGTTAAATTCATGGAAAACTCTTAGGAAGTTCCATCAAAAAATCCCAAACGCAAACTCCAATTCTGGCAATCCTCATAATGTCATCCGATACGAAACAAATGAAGTTGCAGACGCAACTCTGCAGCACAATGCCAAGCCCTTCAATAATCTCCCGCTCTTCGTCCTACCCGCAGTTCACAAAGACATGGCCTTCGAAGTGCACTCTCCCCGAAAACCTCCCTCCGGTCAACCACTCTGCATGCTCAGCTCCACCGTCGAAGTTCACTTCTGCCAAGCTCTCCTTGGGCACGAAGATCAGAAAACTCATCAGGCGGAGGGGGAATTCGAACTTGACAGAGCAAAGCCTCCAGGCTCACAATAACGCGCACGTTGAGGGAGATGCGATCAAGCTTCACAAGAGAGTAGAGCAAGTTAGTCTTCAAGACTATTATAAAGCTGAGGAGGAGAGAAGCTCAAAGTATAGTCCCTATTACATTAGGGGACTCACGTACCCGGCCTTCGTTGTCCCTAAGCATCCAAGTAATACTCCGGGGCGCGAAAGCCATACTTCTCATCGTTCTTGGAACTCATTCTCCACCTTCTTTTCGGGGTTCAAAATGCGAGAGTGGAGCTCTTGCATTGGTTCGAAAAGAGAGGATTACGACAAGCTTAGGCCGGATATGTACACTGCGATAAAACCCCCCAAACCACCTTTAATTAACTCCTCATCATCGACAATTACAGAGATTTCTTTGTTGGAGAGCAAAGAGAGGAAGGAGGTTGGGAGGAGTAGCAATGAATCTAACAAAAAGAAGCCCTTGAGAGAGAGAGTGAGAACAGGAGCAGCAACAGCTGCTGCTTCGGCTACGCCGAGAAATGATCAAATTAAGGTGACGAGTGTCGCTGAGAAGGAATATGCGTGGGCAGACAAGTACCAGCCTCTGTGCTTAGAAGATTTCATATGCAATAGAGACAAAGCAATTCAACTGCAGGCTTTGGTATGCATAAACAACACACGCCAATCGCTCTTACTTTTTATATTTCTTTGCGGTTTGTGATGAATTTGTGTATTGAAATAAAAAATACAGGCCAAACAAGGAGGATGTGGACATTTCATATTTGAAGGACCGCCGGGAGTGGGGAAGAGAACGATGATCTGGGCTATGCTTCGAGAGGCTTTTGGACGCGACACAATAAACGTATGTAGACATGATTCACTATATTTCTCTTTGATTATTTGTAGCTTTTATTCTTGTCAATCTTTTAATCCTTCTTTGAAATATATTATCAGGCCACAGAAGAGTTCAAGGCATTCAACCTCAAGGTAATTTACTTATCCTCAATATTTACTTAATCAATTAATTTCACCAACATTTATATTAGTACATACAGCATTCTTGTGTGGATTTAGGGGTCCATAATCACAAACGACCATTAGTCTGTAGTTAATCACTCTTATTTTGATAGGATTTTTAGTACCTACACAAATAGGATTAAAATTATTTAAAATACTTGCAAGAGTACAAGGTAATTGTAGTATAATCACTCATTCCAGGTCGTTCTTTACAAGAATTGAATGAATAATTTGTAATTAAACTCTTGATTAATTATTTAAAACCTATTTTGGCAAAGGTTAGAGATTTTGAAATTTAAAAGTTTAAAATAACAGTAAAAGGAATCTGGAAATTTGGGAAAAACAATAGCAAAGAAGGAAAAACGTATTTTAAAATAAAACAATTATGGGAAAGACTATGGTTTAGCCGTAACCATTAACCACCCTATGCAATTTTACCAATTACCTATGAATTTCCACATACACACTTTGAATGTTAGGTTTTCCTAATACATATTTTCCTCATGATGTTCAAGTGAAAACGTATATCTAACATGCAACCCGTTTATGATGTTCAGATCAAATATAAACATGCAAGAGTCATTAAGCTTTGTGAAAACCCTTTGAAAAACCATGCAACCTTTAAGAGTACAATTATCAATCACACAAAGCCCTCCTCAATTTCAAGTACAATTATCAATCACAAGAAACCCTCCTCAATTTCAGGGTACAATTATCAATCACAAGAAGCACTCCTCAATTTCAGGGTGATGTTCTAACAGAAATTGTATCAAATTACTTGTCTAATTACCATAATGGTAGCTAAGGACTAAGACAATTAAATAGTTTAAACTCAGTGATTAATAATTCAAAGTAAGCAAACATCCATTCAGAAGCAAATTAATAAAATCACAATTTCATGCTAAGGCTTATGGCATCGCCCTAGCAAAAAGAATTAGTTAGCTATACTCATAATAAAAACCAAAGAAAAGATCATTAACTAGAAAAAGGATTGAAAACATCTTGTAGATAAAAATATGAAATTCGCTAGAACTTTGCCAAGTTCTCTCAATGTCACGTAGAAAATCTAATGGTAAAATAGCCTTATTTATACTACTACAAATTAAAATTTTTTCTAGAAAATGTCTTCTAAAAACTAAGAAACAAAATAATAAAAAGATAAGTTAGAATCACAGTCTAAATCAAGGTAGGAAATCTACCCAGCTAAGAAATCTCCATATTTATGGACCTTCAGGGCTCTAAATGTCACGCCCCGATCCCAACATACGTCCAGGATTGACACATGACGACACCAATACCCATATATCTAACATACCCCGCCTCCAGGATATGTACAAAGCACAACTCGAGAATTGAATCGCATAGTAGTTTTTCGTATACTTTATGGCTGCATCTAACCTTCTCGTTAGACTACCTACGTACCCTCATTAGGGATCAAGCCATTCGTAGTTCGTCATTTCACTACACTTGAATATTCATCAATTAAATCGCTATGTCTCAATAATATATCACAATGCATAACATGCAATATTACAAGGGACAAACGACGGAGCACAATCATATTCACTAGTCATAAAGTTCAACGAGTCTAATCATAATTACCATAACCATAACCAACATCATTCCATAATCACATCCATCAATAATGCCAACCATCACTTCATCAATAACACATACAACACGTCGAAATGCGGGCTAGAGCGCCACAATTTGGCCGAAGACTACATCTCTGAAAAAGAGAATTTTGGACCACCCAACGGAACCAAGGTACCAAAGGGGATTCCGGACCATCACTCAACAGAATCCAATCAGGATACGATTCCGAACCATCACTCAACGAAATTGTGGAATATAAGGGATTCCGGACCATCACTCAACGGAATCCAATCAGAACTCAGTTCCAGACCACTCAACAGAACTGAACGAAAGTCCAGGAAGCATAACAACGGCTCAAAAGAACAAGACATGATTCAAGTTACTCAATTCACAACGACTCAACGAAAAGAAACAATATCGAGCAACAAATCCCCAACACAATGGGTTATTGGTCTATTACTAGACCTCACATCTCCCAAGCAATTCAATATGCATTTCAATCACATGTCAAACCATTTCCAATACACAAGTCAAATCACATTTCAATACATCATACCAATCACTATGCTTCCAACATTATATCTCAATCCATAGCTTGTAACATATCAAGGAATCACGAAGCACAATATTAATATTTAATCACGTTAATCAATCAGTGAGATAGCATATCATTTCACGAATTTAATTAAAGAACTCTACATAATTCCCTACTTGGGTTATGGATAATAGCATGGTAATTCTAATTTGTATCACAAGATCCATCGTGGATAATATCAAACGGTTTCTCATAATTTACGCAGATCTGTCGCATGTGAAATAAGTGCCTACATCATGGAAATGGTGTATCGAGCAACCAACAACCTGGATAAGCTGTGAAGCTCGTGTGAGCGACAATAATACAAAGTATGTAATAATAATGATGAAGCCAACCATCGATCACAGTTTATAAACTTTGAATATAAATCATTCATAAGAAATTAATACCAAACATTTGCAAACTCCGAAGGAGTCACATAGACATCCAACGACTTTTCTAAATCAAACTCAAAGTTCTCGAAGCCAAAATTCACGGATACACTCAAAATAGAGCCAGAGAGACGTCGTTCGGCCGAAGCCTACACAAGTAACCAACTAGGAAGTGCCCCCCCCCCCCGAAAGCGGATCAACCAAGCAGAGCCACCCCTGAGAAAGTAACCAAGTAGGCAGTGACCCTCCAATGCGGATTAACCAAGCAGAGTCACTCCTACATATGTTAGGAAGTGATCACCCAATGCGGATTAACCAAGCATGATCACTCCTAAGCATACATGGCCATAAGGATTACCCAACACGGATTAACCAAGCGCGATCCATGTATAGTATGGTCCCCCAAAGCGGATTAACCAAGCAGGACCATTAGTGACCCTCAACACGGATTAACCAAGCAGGGTCATCGATGTACCAATGCTACATGGTGCTATCAAACCAACACACAACTTACCTCCTACCTCCACACTTATGATTTACAACATGAGCACATACACCATCCATTTCTGTATTTCCCATCTAGGTTCCAAAGCATTGTTTCGAATTATTACTACAAGCATCTACCACCTCGATCAACTCCTATTCTCAAGTATATGCAATTACTAAATATTGCATCACTTCCGACTCTAATATTAATTAGATTACTTGGAACTACTAATTCACACTATGAGATCCAAGTACTATTTTGGTTAACTTGAATTAACATGATCAAAATAAATGTAACATTTGAATGAAAACACTTAGAGAAAATAAGTGAAGATGCTACTTACAAATATAGATGAACCTGTATATAAAAGCTTTGGCAGTTGGTGCATATATATATCCAGGGATATAAGTAAGTTCCTTTGAATATGCATACATAGATATATGTATACGGTAACTAAGGAAACAAATTCATCCCTTCATTAATTTATACATACATATAAGGATTTGTTCAACTTCAGACATAAGCAGAAAGGTCTGATAATGCTAAACCAATGAGATGGAATCAATATGCTCATCAACAATGGCTATTAACTGTCATCACAAGGATAAAATATGGACCACGTCTGACTAAATGCATACTAACAACTCTAGCAAAATTGTACCAAATATGAAGAGAAACAATTTCACATTATGGGACAATATAATTGTCGATTCCCCATCATCAACATTACATTAATGCATTCACTAACTTTAAGGCAACAAATGCAACATGATAAATGGCTAATTTTCAAATAAGACTATACATACATAATGTTAACCATCAACATTTCATAAATCGGATGTCATACACCGGGAAATTCGACTTTTTCCAAAAATTCTTAAATTTTATAGGAATAAAGATCTCAACAAGTAGAGTAAACTTTATACTTGTGGTCACGTCCAATTTGGCCGGGAAGGCCCTCAGATTGGCTTGCACCCGTCGAAAACCCTAAGGTGGGTGTTCTTCAATTCGGCTTCCTTGGTGTTCCAAGATTGGGTCTTGTTTTTGGGTCCAAAAGAAGTTGATCAAGGGTGATGGTGAATGGTGATACTCACCGGAACAACAAATCGTCGTTGAGAACCCCGAGTTCTCTGGTGGAGTTCTACCCGAATTTGGCTTTAAAAACCCTTCAGCAAATAAGGTAGATGAGAGGTTGTGGAATAAGTTGCAGGTGGTGGAGGGTTGAGAATGACCTGAAAAAATGGTGGAGATTGACCGAAATTCAGCCGGGTTGAAGTCGGGTTTGTGGGTGCACGGGATGATGAAAATGGAAGGGGAAAATCCCCCTTTTTTGTTTCTTCCCTTATTGGTCCTTTTTCAACCCCTAAAAATCTGATTTGGTCCTCTTTTTAAACTAACTTAACCTTTAACCCACACGTGGGAATTAAATAATTCCCACAATCTATAGTTCACAACTTCAAACGTCCATAACTATACCGTTATAACTCGGACGGCTTTCGCCTCACCTATACGTTCATGGGTTCGAGATCTATTTAAAAACACTAGTTAAAACTTCGAAAAGTCAACGAAAGATAAAGATTGATTTCGAAAATTCAAACCCGATAACTATTCGATTTAATTCCTAAAATTTACGAAATTAAAATTAAGTAATAAAAATGACGTAAACGTGAAATACGAACTTAAATTACGAGATACACAATGAATAATGAAATTCCGGGGACGAGATTTCACACTAAATCAGGCACAAATTGACTTGAATTAAAACTTAGGATATCCTTTTCAAAATCCAAGAAGATCCAAGTCCAAAATCCATCATCTTCCAGCCCAAAATTCGTAAATAATCCCTATAGCGCAATCTACCAGCACTGCGAGCTAGTCTTTTATTTATTCGTGATAAATAAACTGGTTGGTAAAAAAATCTGAAATTTTGACACGAAAAATTTCAGATTTTCACAAATATCTCCAACTGAAATCATTCTAAAATTCGTCTGTTTGATCACCGTTTGTTCAATTTTTGCTCAAGAGAAGTCCAATGTCCTACATTGGAAATATAGCACAAACTATCCACATCTCACCAAAATAATTACCAAAATGTACGAAGAATAGGAGAAAATATATAGTATGAAATCGACTCGTCAATTACTCCACAGTTGTGATCTTCCTATATATGAAATATCCATGCGGAATGATATAACAAACATCGACCTTTAATTTACCCGATTTTCTTGCTTTTATCTTTCTTCTCAAAGGGGGAAATGGTAGGTAGCATAGAAGTACATGTAAAGCAATCCCCTCAACATGTAGAAGTGAATCTCTCTGAACTGAAGGGCTACGAGAAGCATGTCATTGTGGAACTCATGAGAGAGACACAGGACAATATGCTGAACAAGTCTCTGCCATGCAGCCTTGACAACTGTCGAGGTATATATATGTGGATTAAAAACAGTACAAATTGATTTACTTCTTAAACTAAGCTGAATAAAAAAGTGCATGAATAACGCTGTTGCCTATTTATATATATTTTTCTGCAGCAATAATCTTATACGAGGCAGACAAGCTGTCGACCGATGCCCTACTGTATATAAAGTGGCTTTTAGAAAGGTATAAAGGGTGTAATAAGGTCTTCTTCTGCTGCTCTGATATCTCAAAGCTTCAGGCAATCAAATCGCTTTGCACCATCGTTGAGCTTTTACCTCCTTCCAAGAATGAGGTGGGGAACTAGTAGATCGTAACAAGGGGTACACATCAGTATTGGATGAATTTAATAAGTTTCATTTTGTTGTTTTCGAAAGCGTTTGATCATGTAGTTTACTTTCTACATTTTCAGATTGTTGAAGTTTTAAAATTCATATCTAAAAAAGAAGGCATAGATTTGCCACATGAACTGGCTGAAAGGTTTGCCCAAAATTCGAATAATAGTCTCCGTCAAGCCATTCGTTCATTCGAGGCTACTTGGAAGAAAAGGTATTAATAAGAGAAAAAATAGTTACCGTTGCTAAATGTTTTTGTCACTCATATATATATATATATATATATATATATATTAATTTATGTGGTTTTGATGAACGGTGTATATGCAGCTATCCTTTTAAAGAAGATCAAGTAATTCTGACAGGTTGGGAAGATAACATTGCAGATATTGCCAAGAATATGATTGAAGAGCAAAGCCCAAAACAGTATGCTCCTTTGAACAAATTAATATGTAGTAAGAGTACACTACACAATATATGTACCACGGAAAACTATGTTCGCCTTGTTCTCAAATTTAGGTATATATTATTGTATGAGCCGGTTTTATATAACCTCCCCCTCACAGTACGTAGTGAATCTCACATCTGTGTTGTGAGATGGAGGTACAAAATTTGTGTTAGCCCAATTCAACTGTAATTTAGAATACATTAGAATTAAGATAAAATTTGCAACTTCACCAACTTGAAATTTGAGAAATGTTCTGTATCTTTTGGCAGGCTATATATAGTCCGCGGAAAGCTTCAAAATCTTATAGTTCATTGCGTTTGTCCGGAATTCATTTTCAAAGTAAGCATATTGTTGCCCTTATATCAGATATCTCTAATTGAAGTAATGATACTATAAAGCAAATTTGTTCTAATCTTTATGCAGTCCCTAGTAGCACAGCTGAAGAAGTATGTGGACGACAGCCTGCAGGATCGAGTTGAGAGCATGTACGACGAATACAACGTATGAAACTTAAGAAACTTACAGGCCAAATTGTTTTGATAGGTGTTAAATAATGAACTACTAAAGTCACCAAAATATGTTAATTCTCTTCAATCATGCAGAGGAACGACGAAAATATGTTTGAGAGTGGCAAAGCACTGGCACTCAGTCGGCACGATCATGAGGAAACGGGTAAAAGGCTCACTGATCAATCCAGAAAGCATATTCAGCAGTTCTTGAGAATTGAAGGTAAAACAACTGTTGGAAAATTAATATATTATAATGAACTGGTTTGATTTGTGTTGTACATGTAAATGCACAGAAATGTTTCTCTTGTCGTACTGTGTGGCAACATAAGATGCTTATATTACTAGACTGTGAATCTGGATGATTGATTGAGCTGATTCTTATTTGAACGTGTAGTTCAGATTCATAGTCTAATAACATAAGTCGGGCAAGAGAACATTGCCCCTATAAGCGCATTATGCGTATAAAACACAAGCATTGCAATTTCCATCACTATTTGCTATCTAAAGATTTTCCACTTCTTATGGATAACATAAGTTTATTTTCATTCTCTCCCAGAGTTTATAGCCAAGTTCATGAGCTGCTACAAGGGTTGCACGTATACCAGGTCTTTGCCCGTTGGCGATCCAACATAAGAAGGCGTCTTATCGGTCAGCCAAACTCCTCCTGAAGGAATTACACACCCTAGAATTTCCTTTGGGGGAGCTTTTTTCTTGTTATATATGATCTTAGTACTGCTGGTGCAGCAGTAGCTGGAAACCATTGGCTTCCTTATAAACTTTTTTGCTGATTGGCTTTCTTGTAAACTTAAGATCTTGGTTTAAACTACTCACTTATGGAGTAGTGTGGAAATTAATAAGGTGTGATATGACAAACCTGTTTGTCAATAACATTTTGATGGCACAAATACTTTATTAAGCAGTGCATATTATTACAAGGTAAAAGTTAAGGCTAAGAAGGAATGTTGTAAAGCCTTATATATACAAAACTATGAAAGGTATAAAATAGCGAAGAAGGTGGCGAAGAAAGTCGTGAGAGAAGTGAAGCTAGCAGCTTTTTTGACGATATGTATAAGCGGTTGGATACCAAAAAAGGAGAGTTGGATATCTATATATAAACTAGCTAGAGCTAGAGAAAGGAAGACGTACAAGAGACTGAACCAAGTAAGGTGCATCAAGAATGAGAATGGAAATGTTCTAGCTACAAAGAACGTGGTTAAAGATAGACAAAGAGGGTATTTTCATAATCTTCTCAATAAAGGACATGAAGGATGTACTTCTTTAGGAGAGTTGAGTAACTCAGAATAGTGTAGAAATTACTCGTTCTATTGTCGAATTAGGAAGGAAGAAGTGGTTGTAACTTTGAAAAAGTTGAAGCATAAAAGCAGTGAGCCCAGATGATATACCAATCGAAGTATGAAATGTCTTGGGAGAGATAGGTATAGCATAACTCACAAACATTTCCAATAAGATTTTGAAAATGAAGAAGTGGCGAAAAAGCACTTTGGTGCTTATCTACAAGAATAAAGGCGAAGTACAAAATTGCATGAACTATAGGGGTATTAAGTTAATGAGTCATACAATGAAGCTCTATGAGAGAGTAATTGAGCATAGACTCAGGCAAGAGACATGGGTCTTAGACAATCCATTTGGATTCATGTCAGGGCGCTCAACCATGAAGGCAATCTATCTTTTACGAAGATCAATGGAAATATATAATGATATGAAAAAGGATTTGCACATGATCTTTATAGATTTGGAAAAAGCGTATGATAGGGTCCCAAGAGATACTCTTGGAGGATTTTAGAGAAGAAAGGAATACGAGTAGCATATATCCAAGCTATAAAGGATATGTATGATGGAGCAAAGACTGTCATAAGAATTCATGAAGGACAAACATAAAACTTTCCCTTAACAGTGGGGTTACATCAAGGCTCATTTTTAAGTCGTTATCTTTTTGCATTGGTAATGGATGAGTTGATGGGACATATTCAAGATAATATTCCTTGGTGTATGCTTTTCACTGACAATAAAATGTTGATAGATGAAACTCAGGAGGGAGTAAATGTGAAGCTTAACCTTTGGGGGCAAGTATTGGAATCTAAAGGTCTTCGCCTAAGTAAGTCAAAGACAGAATATATGGAGTGCAAGTTCAGTGGGAACGGAGGTTCAAACAAGTTAGAGGTGAAGATTGGAGATCAAGTACCAAGGAGCAAACCCTTTCCCTATCTTGGATCTATCTTGCAAAGAACAGAGAAATGGATGGAGACCACAATCATAGAATACAAACTAGGTGGATGAAGTGGAAGAGTGCATCGGATGTGTTGTACGACCATCTTATGCCACTAAAGTTCAAGAAAAAATTTATAGGACAACAATAAGGCCAACAAAGCTTTATGACACATAATGTTGGGGTGAAACATCAACACGTACACAACATAAGTGTAGCAGAGATGAGAATGCTTCGTTGGATGTGTGGGCACACGAGATAGGACAAGATTGGGAGTGAGGATATCCGAGATAAATTAAGAGTAGCCGAAATTGAAGATAAGATAAAAGAAAATCGGTTAAGGTGATTTAAACATGTGAAACGAAGATCTACAAACACTTCGTTTAGAATATGTAATTACGAGACAGAGGCTCATGGCCAAAAAGGTAGAGGAAGACCTAGAAAGACTTGGAAATGGACTTTAAGAAAAGACTTAGACTACTTGGATCTAATGGAAGGCGTGGCGCAAAACCAAGCACAATGGCGTTTTAGGATACATATAGCCAACCTCACTTTGTCGGATAAGACTTTGTTGTTGTTGTTTTAGTGTATATTATTACCATCTAGATTAGATACATGATTTTTATTCTTTTCCTTTTCTAAGAGATAACTTTTTCTTCTTTTCTTTTTCTTTTTAAAAAAAAAAAATTATAGGCTCGAAATCCAAATTCTGCAACCCGTCGGGATGAGGATGAGGTTAGGTCCAGGACTCGAAACATTTTCACTGTAACAAAAGAAACAACACTAGATGGCATTGTGCCCTTAAATTTTATTGTGAAACAAGGAAATTGCAAAGCGCTAGTGAACTAAGTTAGCATGATTCGTTTCCAAGAGGACAAACAAGACATCCTGCAATATAATTTTCTTTGGCCATGCATCAAGGATGATAGGGTTACACGTGATGAGAGGAAGTGCGTGTATTACAAGGAATTGATTCGTATGCCTTACTGTACAAGGAATTGAGAATCAAATGATACAAAACTGCAGGATACCTTCTTGTGTATTATTGAACTGCTAATCTCTGGAGATGATCCAAGAAGACCTCAAAACTGACATCGTCAGTAAAGATCACATCCCCTCCCGGAAGTGGAGCTTCGTTGTTGTAGGTAGCAGAAGGATTCAACTTTGCCAAAAGAAAACGGGCCTGCGTAATTACATGAAGGAAGGGGGATCAGAGACGATTGTAATGCCACAGCATTTGTACCACAGAAACACAGAATTTTTTTGTTTAACATGCATACTACAAGACAGCACCAGATTACCTGAGAACCATGCTGATCGCAAATCACCAGGCGGGGTACTGGAAATCTTTCCTTGCTAATTTGATCTCCATCGTCACGAGGAGCTTGTAACAATTGAGCAAATGCCTGGAAGCATAGATCTGCTTTAGAGGACTTGTAATGTTTTTGAAGTTTTTTAGCATTGAACCTACCACTTTTATCAGAATTAAAAGCAACAGAACACAATAAAACTGAATCTGGATAACTCGCTAACCATCATTTCATTGATTATAAACGAAAAACAGTCACCCAGCTAAAACTGAAACTAAGATTAACTATATATGGATGCAAGGACATTAAGATAAGCCACTGAACCACAAACAAAATTTTGAAGCTAATATAGGATTGGCGCCTATGCAAATATGAGTTTACTTATGAGACTCAGTGAGGCAGATTAGTAGGTCCAGTTTTCCAAGATAGCCCCAAAATTTGATGGTCATGGATTTTTCACTTCTTTTACCGCAAAAAAAAGCAACAAAATATAGTATTTACTTACACATGAAGTAGTCATAAATCAAAGGCAGTTCAAAAAAATTGTTCCAAAGCAAAAGCTACGGAAAATTCCACAACTGCATATACCAAAAATAAGCGTGAGCTTATAGCGCTAATACTTATGCATATACAGATCAGTCTACTATCTGAAGGCAGGACCAACTCTAACACAAGGGAGTACCAACTCTAACACAAGGGAGTAACTTTAGTAACAAGTTGCAATGTTTTACTTTCTTTTCATCCAGTATAATACATTATATTAAATTAATCAGGAATCATGCAAAGAAACCAATGCATCTAATGTTTGATCTGCTGGATGTCTAGATGCAGCCCTCATTATATTTTATATCTGAATTTAGTCGTGAAGGAAATGATCTTTTAGATTCACTTGTTTCAGACTTGAAACATAGATCCAAGGCAAAGACAAGCTGTTCAGATCAACTTCACTTTAACTTGAGGACTGCAAAAGATTACCTGATGTTCTGGCAGGTCCTGATACCCTGCTTTCCGCCATTGTGCAATAGTTGAACCATGAAAAATAACAACAGTAAAGTAGGCGTCTAAAAGCAGAATCCTGTCTGCTGCGATGGCAGCGACATCAAGAAGTGCTGGTTCTGGGCCTGAATGAAATGAATATGAAATCAACGAAGGCTGAATCATCACAACTGAATTGGTAACATTTTCTCGGTTTAGGATCATTCTGAAGTACGCTGTTTCATCTGGGCTGTTGTTAAAAACCTGCAACACAAGTTCAACTGACGTTAATCACAAGATCTATATACAATAGCATAACAATGATAAGAACAGTGCTGAAACTAGAAGTAATGTGAAAGACAGAACTTTATACCTGGACAAATTGAGAACGTCGTAAATGAAACATAAATTGAGGGAAGATTGAAAACCGTGGAGATAAGCTGAAAGAAGAGGGACTGTCCTTTTGGTAATCTCCAAACCGAGAACACATGTGTATCAGTGATTTATCCAACCATCTTATAGGGTCAAACTCTGCCTGGATATTTCATGAAATGACACAAGATTAGTGAAGAGTTCAGTCATATCTTCACAAAAACAATACACACAAACATGTTATAAAACATCAAGTGTGCTGAAAATCACTTCTTGTGAAAACAACCCAAACATATTAACTAAAAGGATATGATTCTTTTCCAATTTTATTATAACTAACATCCAAATACAAATAAAGTACTAAAAAGCAAGGTTGTATCTGGGTACTGATGCATGTCTCTGTTAATTCCTTTTGCCAGTCACCTTGTCGCACTAGTGTTTGGAGCACAACTATTCAAAAGCTCAATGGAAAAGATTACATAATGAAAATTATCATCTGATGTATGTGTTCTTTATATTTTCTTACAGTATACTTTATATGAGAATGATTCTTCATACAGAGATGTGTAGATAATCGATATAGAGCAATTGGTTATATAAACTTCACACAGAAAATTGACATCACCATAAGCCATCAGAACAATAATCCACCACAATTAGGAATACAAAGTGATCAACTAAAAATTTCATAATTTTTACATCTTCCAGTGCTAGTTTTTGGACTTTATATTGAGACAACACTTTACCATTCAGCTACGACCCTTGAATTTAAAATAAAAATGATCCTGAAATTAACAGTGAAAATGTCTATGGTTCATTCCCGTCTTTTCTCAGAGTCAGCACCCCAATTCTCCAAATCTAGACCTTGTCAGCATGAGTGATAATTGCTTTTTTTTTTCATTCACATGCACACGCACACGCACATGCAGCACAATATACTATAAGCTTTAACTATTAAATTATGCTTTGTGAAACTTAAATATCTATTAATTAATAAATAATAGACAAATGAAAGATTTTCATTTTCAATGCCCTGTGGATTATCTTAAAATTAAAGAAACTCATTCAAAGAAGAATAGAGTGACAAATTGATGTATTCTTTATAGGACTTGGAACTCCATCTGTAGTTTCAACCTCCCCAGGATTTGATGGCAGACTTGAAAAACAACCTACAGGAACTTTATTAAAAAAGGAAATACATTTCTTACAAAAACATTCATCAAAATTCCTCAGCCCTGTAGGAGTTCTAAGAACATATGTCTCGCTGGCTTTTCAGGTCCAGAGAGAAAACTGACA